CTTTACTTACTGATGCTTTTACAGAGAATAAATCTTAGTAGAGAATAAGCTAGATATTGGCAAGTTATAGCAAACTGAAAAGAAATATGTACTTAAAAGCATTCCCTTAAACTCATTTCCTATAAACAAAACCCCAGCTATTTCTTAAAGTGATTACCCATTAAACTCTGGAAATAGGGGTTCCTGAGATTTGTTTTTATTCCTAAGTTGGAAAAAATATCTTAGACTTAATAGGGTATCATAGAACGTAGGTCTGTGACACCTGTGATTTTAGTTGAATTGGCTGATAAACTAGAGGCAAAGTAAATATTAAGATATAAAATTATCTCCCAGGGCAAGGTACTTGGCATATTGCAAACTAAAATAGTAATAACAGTAACTATTATAATAATCAATCTTCTAGCCTCACAACAATGCAATTTTGACATGCTTTTTTAAAAAAAATGTAAAAGATGCTTGTCAAAGAGCCCCATACACATGCCCCAGGGCCTTAGGTAACAGGTAACAATGGAGAGATCTGAATTCCAGGCTCACTCCAGCATGTATACTTAACCAAGTAACCTAAGAAAGATCACCTCATGAGATCATCATTATTCTCAGAGTCCCCCTCAATACTGACTCTCACGCCAGTGCTTTCAGCCATCAGGCAGACTTCGTTATGATCACCTGGTCTCCCATGATTTTCCATGGTTTCCTGACTTCATGCTTTGAAGTGTGTGGAAACTGGTGCCATGGAGAAGGTGGAGAGGAGGAAGGGGGGAAAATTCTTGCAGCTGGAGGGGATTCCCTGATGGTTCAGATGGTATTTAGAAAAAAAAAAACTGTCTGCAATGTAAGAGACCTAGGTTCGATCCCTCAGTGGGGAAGATCTCTTAGAGAAGGTAAATGGCTACCCATCCCCATATTCTTGCCTGGGGAATCTCATAGACAGAAGAGTCTGGAGGGCTACAGTCCAGTGGGTCACAAAGAGTCTGACACAACCGAGTGGCTAAGTGCACATAACATTCAACTGTTATTGAGGTTCAGTTCAAATCTTACTATCTGCCCGAGCCTTGGACTGGGGAGTATATGCTATTGACCACATTACCAAAGACCTGCCAGGTTCTGGTTGGAAGACAGCTGGAATCTATCCATCCGTGGCTCCCAAGTGTCGCGAATGCTAAGCCTCATCTACCCTGAGACTGGACAGCCCTCTGTCAGGATGACCGTACACCAGAAACAAACATTATCTGTGGTCACTGTTTAATTTAGACCTTGTTAGTAGTAAAGACATTCCTGATAACATTTTTTAAACCATCTAGTTATTTGTACATTTGCAAGAAGTTGTATGTTTATTTTTCTTAGCTGCTTAAGTTCAATTGTTGCTATTTATCTTGAAGTAAGACTAAATATTTTAGAATTTGGAATGACAAGCTGATATGGCCCAAATTCTTTTACCTCGCCAAATTCTCATTTTTTATAAGGATAGTGTTTGCAAATTTATTTTGGAAAGGCCAGTTGCCTCAGAAAGTCATTCTCAAGCTAAGTGGATTTCTAAAGTCTATATTATTTTTAGGCTGGTTAATCCTTTTTCCAATTCCCTGATGGTCAGGGAACATATAAAAAAAAAACAGAAAAAGTAAGCAGGTCCAAGACAATCCAAAAATAAAAACTTAAGGTTTCAAGTCTTTGTAGATTGTCACTCTTCTTGATGTATTGAAAAAGTTTTAATTTAAGAAAGAAAAATAATTCTATCACCAGTGATGTTTTAGGTCCATGAAGGAACTTTTTTAATATAGTCTCAAATAACTTTTCATTTAGTGTCAAGATAAGTAAGTAAAAAATAAACAAGTGACAATAATATATGAGCATGTTTCTCAAATACTGTGCATTAGATACTTGACACATATCATTTCATTGAATCCCCACTGAAAAGCAATTTTAATCACCTTCTTACAAATAAAGGAACTGAAATACAGAGTGATGGAGGAATTGGTTAAAGTTACAAGATGATCAGGATTTGAACCTGGGTTGTGTGTCTTTAGCCTTAAATACTCTTGTTATTTTTCAGTCACTAAGTTGTGTCCAGCTCTTTGCCAAGCTATGGACTGAAAGCATGCCAGGCTCCCCTGGCCTTCATTATCTCCTGGCGTTTGCTCAGATTCATGTCCATTGAGTTGGTGATGCTAACTATCTCATCCTCGGCCACCTCCTTCTCCTTTTCCTTCAATCTTTCCCAGCATCAAGGTCTTTTCCAATGAGCCAGTTCGTCACATCAGGTGGCCAAAGTATTGGAACTTCAGCTTCAGCATCAGTCCTTCCAATGAATATTCAGGGTTGATTTCCCTTAGGATTGACTGATTTGCTTTCCATGCAGTCCAAGGGACTCGCAAGTCTTCTCTAATACCACAGTTCAAAAGCGTCAGTTCTTTGGCATTCAGCCTTCTTTATGGTCCAACTCTCACATCTGTACATGACTGAAAACTGTACTGTACCAATTATGCCAGGAATGCTTATGATGTGGGAAGTCCTGGGGGGTGCAGGCTATAGCACAGCCTCGGGCCCCCTCTCCATCTGACCTTACACTATCAGAAGTCACTGGAGTGTTCTTGCCCATCTGGTTCAAGTCCATTCAGGATAAGATTAGAGATGTGTTACTATTCATGTCAATCTTGCTTCAAATACTAGATACACCTGTAACAGCAGTAAAACTGGCCTCATTATTTCATTTTAGGTAGTTAGAATTATAACTTCTTTTTCCAGACATGAATTGAACATGAAACATCATATCTTCAGGCCATAACTGACTTGCTGGTAACAAGGATTATACTACTCATCCATTTCTAATTGAACATTTTCTTAATTTGGTCTACATAGAATCACAGAATTTGGAGTTTTGAAAAAGATCTCTCAGATTTCATCCTGTGGATTCTAAGTAAAAGGGATCCAATTGGTTACAAATTTACTAGTCCCTTTAGAAAATTTTTTTTTCTACTAGCTTTAAGTTGTGTTATTTTTATCATGATCTATATAACCAAGGTTATTCTTAAAGTATACACAAACTTACCATCTGCAATCAGATTTTCTCCATGTACATATCCACTCAATAGCTGTTTATTTCAACCCCAGATAAAAATGACACCATGTGTTAGGTATATGGTACACATGTCACAAAGTTTTCCAAGTCTGTGCATTTCTCTGGCTTCTGGCATGAGACCAGCTCAGGTGAAATCTCTGCCTTAAGTGCAATCTTTTAAACAAGTGGAAGAATTATCAGCTTCATCTCTAAACACCAGTTTTATAGCTTAGGCTTGCAGACCCCAGCTGTTCCCTCAGTGTAAGTCTGTTGAAATGATGGAAACCACCAGTAAATATCAAAAATCTATTGTTTCCAAAATATCTTTGGAATGTAGCATGCTTTGAGTTTAATAATAATGAAGTGGACTCTTATATTCAATAGTATGTTGGAAAAAATACTTAAATAGTGATAACAGGTACCAGAAACCCACAGCACAGCCCCATATCCGGATTTGTTTGTCTTTGATGTAACCATGTCAAAAGCCATTACATCCCTAAAAGCTCTACGAGATAGAAATATGAGTTGCTGGATTAACACCTCCCATGGAGAAGATCTCATTTCTGGCCCTAAGTTCCTTCCTACTCATCTCCAGGATCTCCTTCAGGATTTCCACTGGCCTGCACGCATAGGAAGGTCTCCAGGACAGAAGCGCACTGGTAGAACAGGGAGCTTGAAAAGTCTACAAGGTAGATATCTGCCCACCTGTCTTGCAGGGCTCAGATCCAGGAGAGGGCAGACCATGGGATTAGAAGCAGCCTTGGACAGCAACCACTTCTGTACTTCACCTTGCGTGCATGCTATGTTGCTTCAGTCATGTCCAACTCTTTGCAACCCCCTGGACTGTACCCCACCAGGCTCCTCTGTCCATGGGATTCTCTAGGCAAGAATATTGGAGTGGGATGCCATGCCTTTTTCCAGGGGATCTTCCTGACCCACGGATCGAACCCACATGTCTATGTCTCCTGCACTGACAAGCAAGTTCTTTACCACTAGTGCCACCTGGGAAGCCTGTACTTGACTTACAGATGAGGAAACAAAGGCTCTGGATCCACCAGAGTACAAACCTCAGAGTTTTTGTCCAATATGTTCCGTTATAACAGTGATCCCCAATTTGGGGTCCTCGTAGCTCTTAAGAATTCACAAAGGTAGCGATGAAGGCCCTACAATTATTTTGTACGTTTTGTAAAGCCCAAGAAACTCCCCATTTATCTTCAGTTAAGCCACAGAGTGTACTTAATAAATTCAGTGGGATATTTTTCAATTAACAATATTCATGGGGAGTCAGTAGCAGATAATTAAAGGGGTCCTTGATTAAAAAAGAAAACTCAGGAACACTTGCACTACTGCAGACAACATGCTCTGAAGAGCTACGGGGGAACATGTGCTTGCATGCACACATTTTACATGGTCAAAGATGTGCATGCATGCATGTATGTGCCAGCTTTGCCAGGTGTCAATATCCATTCAAACTGCAGGTTGGTTGTGGCAGCAGTCACTCCCTTTAAGAGAGTGCATTTGTTTAACTGAGGCTACAAAGACCTCAGCAGAAGTATAAAGGGAAGGGATGAGGAGAAAAAGAACAGACAAAGAGAGAAAAGCAAAAAAAGGTCTAAGGATTATCCAGGCACCTACTTACTTCTCTTTTGCTTTATGATAAGACCTGACCTAATCTACGGCACAGAGGTTCAATGGCAGAGCAAAGAGACTAGGGACAGGGCTGGAAGAAATGGTTTCCTTACCTTATAAATGGGGCGGGGGTGGGGGGGTGGAGGGGAGAGAAATCAGTTGTTCTTTTGCATAGAGGATATTTGCAAACAAGGAAATCTCGGGCATCTCCTATTCAGCCAGGTGTCTACATTCAGTTTGCCGATGTCCAGAAGGGAGAGGAATTGGGAAAGGGAGCCCGTGATCTGGATGTTTGCTGATTGTTCTTTATCTACAGTAGCAACAAATGTGATCTCTTATACTCAGCATGTGCTCAGATTCCGAGGCTGCTGCACCAGAGGGATCCCAGCGCTGCTGGCTCTCCTGTGAGGGCCGCTTTCGCTTGGCATGGTGCTCGTGAGCAGATGGACACCAAGCCGTCCTGCCAGGAAAACAGTATGTGCATCGTGTCAGTAGTTTAGGGGGTGGCCTAGCATCCCAGAACTCCAGCCGAGAAGTTTGCCTCCTATAGTTCTATGCCTGGGGTGGGGGGCAGGGGGCGGTAAGAAAAACATGGCTAATCCAACTATTTGCATCTTTTCTACTTTATTAGGATTTATTCATGAGTAGGAAAAAGCTCACAACTTTTGCAGGAAATTGAAATTTTAAAAAAATTAATGCTTAGAATTTTTAGTGTTAGAATTTAATTTTTCCAGATAACTTTTCTCAGTGCCAAAGAACCCCTTTTTCAAAAGAAGCATTAGTCAGAGCCTCAGTATACAGCAAAAACAAGCAGCCAGGGTGGCTTATGGAAGGGTGGTGCATCCTTACCCTGCCTTTCACAGCCTTCTGAAGCTCAAAAGAACAGGCTTTAAAAACTGCTAAAACTAGGATCAACATACATACGCCACTACTATATATAAAATAGATAACCAACATGGACCTACTGCATGGGACAGATAGCTATCCTCAATATTTTACAACGATCTATAAGGGAAAAGACTCTGAAAAAGAATATATATGTGTGTGTGTGTTTGTGTGTGTAAAACTGAATCACTGTGCTAATACATTTTATATCAACTATACTTCAATCAGACATAAAATAAAAGAGGCTGAAAGACTGATCCCTATCAAACTGAAAATATCTCCTTCAAAGATACCCATTGATATTTTCATCAAGCATTTCTATCTAAAGTGAATAAAGGCCTAAATAGGGAAACTTGTGTATATTGCATAAATAATTACTTCCGGGTCAGGTGCTCCCATGATAGTAGGAAGAGCCTTGTGTGGTGCCTGTTTCTCTGTGAGGAGTCCCAGCTTACTGTTCAGTTTTAACAGCGCTGGTTGAGCCCCTGATATCACAATAAATCTTAGGGACATGCAGCTGAAGCCCAGAAAAATCTTTAGTTAGCAGTGTAGCTCTAGCTTCTAGGTCAACTCAGGGTCTTATGAGACAAGGAAATGAAGAGCCACATGTCCTGTGATATAACAACTCCCCCAGTTCTAAGCTATTCTTACCAACCTTGAGCATACCATAGACCTTATTGCCCACTAAGCCCAAAGGTTGCCACCAGCCCACAAATGTGCCTTGTTTGACTTCCACAGTATATAATATGATGCAAGAAATGAAATGCACACATAAGATAAATTGTACTTATAAAATAACATGTGTATATAAAAGTACTGTGTATATGTAAAATTATATGCATATGTAATATACGTGGCTTCTTTTAAATCTAGAGATTTAATATTTAAAAATATAAAGTTTCAAGTCAAGGCCTCTATTTTCACATGGAAACAGCAGACTGAGCCACAACTTCTCCTACAGATGTACAAACCTTATTGCTTTTGTGAGGATTAAATGAAATAAGGTATATGAATGATTTAAATGTCTCTGGCACACAGTAGGGGTACAATAAGTGGCAACTATTGTTATTTATTTATTTGCCATGCCAGGAGAGGTATTTTGACTTTTCACCCCTGTTTTACATGCAGAGTCCTTTAGAAACCACTTGTAAATTTACATTACCCACATATTAAACATCATATACCACCTGAGGTCTGTTCAGTTCAATCAATTTCTGATATAGGAGGGTAGGACATAAAGGAGAATGAATGACTGCTTTGTGGATTTTTTAATAATTTTATTTCCTGAGGTTTTATGAAAGAAACATATGGAGGGTAGAAATGGTATGAAAGCCACTTACATTCTCTTAAAATTTGTGTTCCTGAGAGAGGTAAGTCCAGGGGCTGTCCAACTGCCGGATTTTTCAAGTACTTGGTACAGGTATGGGTTGAATAGAGATGCTAAACAAGATGCTGGATTCATTAAGGGCTTGTCTTGAATCCTGAAAATGGTGCCAAGGGAGCCTGAAGAGGTGTGGCTATAGAAGAAGTGTGAATCAAGTGGAACGGTCTGGCAGTACCAACAGCGAAATGATTAAGGCCAAAGACATTTCCAAGCCAACCAATAAGCCAAACAGTCACCAAAAGTGTTGCCTAGCTATGCAGAAAACATCATAAAATCAGGCAAAGAAGGATGGATCAGCCTGCTTGGATTAGCTAACTTAAATACTTCTGGAATTTAAGCAAGGAGAGGAGAAAAAATTAAACTTGTAACTAATAAAAATATTTCCATATGTAACTATTTTTTTAAAACTTCCCAAGACAAGCTGTAAAACAAACACATAAATTAAATGTAGATGTGTACTCAGATATGTGTGTTGTTTCTATGCCTGTGAATATATCCATACCTATAAATAAATTAGGTATTCATTAAATGTGTATGCTTAGTCGCTTCAGTCATGTCTGACTCTTTGTGATCCCATGGACTGCTGTCCACCCAGGTTCCTCTGCCCATGTAATTCTCCAGGCAAGAATTTTGGAGTGGTTTGCTGTGTCCTCCTCCAGGGGATTTTACTGACCCAGGGATCGAACCCACATCTCCTGCATTGCAGGCAGATTCTTCACAGTTGAGCCAACGGGGAAGCCCCCTCAAATGTACAGACGTCAGGAATTTAAAATGTAGATTATATATGTGATAACTTTCTAAATTCTCAAAGACTCTTCCTACAAAAAGGAGATTCAGTGGTGGGACTCTCTGATTAAGGACCAAATGTAAAGAAAATGTTGAATATTCCTCATATTCTCCCAAAGAGTGGTATTAATAAATTCCCCAAACCAACCCTACTGGAAAAATGTGAAGTGGAGGGGAGGAACTGAAGCTAATACAGGTGACACCAAATTGGAAGGGGCTATACATTCTCTCAGGAAACTGGGGAGAAAACTCAAGTTGGACCCAATTTAAGCTGCTTTCCCACCATCTCCTTCTCATCCCCAGATAATGGATCTGCTGTAACATCATTTGTTCACATCCTAAGTACACTAGGTCTTTACACGGTCTCTTGAAGGTTTCCAAGTTACTCTCCAGACATGTGTTTGGCTGAATTGAGTCTCAATGTGGTGAAACCCTGGGGAAGGGGCACAGAAGGACCAAAAAATCAATCAACCCACCTGAGTTGTCGTTACTGAGACACCAGGCAATTAGGGCTAGAGAAGAAAAGGAAAGCAAGATACAAAATTTCACTGCCAATGTTCATGTTTTTATCTTTTTCTCCCAATAGGTGGTGAGTCTCAATTATTTTTTTGTTGCTGTTCAGTCACTCAGTCATGTCTGACTCTTTGCAACCCCATGGCCTGCAGCATATCAGGCTTCCCTGTCCTTCACTATCTTCCGGAACTTGCTCAAACTCATGTCATTGAGTCAGTGATGCCATCCAACCATCTCATCCTCTGTCATCCCCTTCTCCTCCTGCCTTGAATCTTTCCCAGCATGAGGGTCTTTTCCAATGAGTCAGTTCTTCCCATCAGGTGGCCAGAGTGTTGTAGCTTCAGCTTTAGTATTAGTCCTTCCAATAAATATTCAGGGTTTATTTCCTTTAGACTTGACTGGTTTTAGGTCCTTGCAATCCAAGGGACTCTCAAGAGCCTTCCCCAACACCACAGTTCAAAAGCATCAATTCTTCGGTTCTCAGCCTACTTTATGGTCCAACTCTCACATCCCTACATGACTACTGGTATTATTTTTATATGCTCAAATGGAAGTTTGTGTTATCCCATAGTATATGCTCAATTAGGTGCTTGAATGATTGTGCAGCTATAACCTGGGCCTTCTTTTAGAAAGCACAAAGGTACCCCTTTCATGCCATTCTTTTTCAGCTCCTTTTGCTAGATCCTCTTTCCCTATTTTAACTCCTATTGTTGGAATAACTCTGATTCTCTTTCTTTTCAAACTACATAGACATTTCCTCTACATGGTCTAATTCAGGTTTTATTTGGCTTTAAACACTAGCTATCCATTCTTAGGGCTTCCCAGGTGGTTCAGTGGTAAAGAATCCACCTCCCAATGCAGGAGACAGGAGATTCGGGTTTGATCTCTGGACTGGGAAGATACCCTGGAGAAGGAGATGGCAACTCACTCCAGTATTCTTGCCAGGAAAATTGCATGGACAGAGAAGCCTGGTGGACAGTTCGTAGGGTCATGAAAAGTCAGACACAACTGAGCAACTGAGCATGCACACACACACACACACACACACACACACATCCATATGTTCTTAACTCCCAAAGTGCTGTCTCTACATTTTGCTTTTCTACTGAGCTCTAGACTCACGTATTCAATGGCCTATAGGACAAAGATCTTACCATAACAAGGCCAGATCTTATCTCATGATTTCCCACACCCCAAACTTATATTCTCATCTTAGTATATGATAATGTACTCACTGTTCTTACTATATGGTTTTTTGGGGTTTGGGGGAAAACTATATGGGTTTTTCTAGCTGAAAACCCACACGTCCCTGATCCTTTTCCTTCCCACACGGCCAGCAATAATAGAGCCATCCAAAATTCCTTCTACATCCATCACCACTCCTCTTTGACTTTATCACTACAATCCTAGCCCACCGCCCTCTCATTTCATGCCTCCAGTCCTGAAATAGCCTCCTCACTGGTCCCCTGCTGCTACTTCTGCTATCCTAGAGTCCATTCCCCACATGGTGGTCATCGATCTCCAAACAACATAAATCAGACCATGTCACTCCCCAGCTTAAAAATCTCCCTTGACTTCCTAATGCATTTACCATGAAATCTAAACTCTTTAATCTGACTTACTGGGTCCTACAAGGTGCCTCACCTCACACTATCCCCTCCCTGACCCTTGTGCTCACTACATACCAGCTTCCAGAGTTGTTTTCTCTGCTTCATAAACATGGCAGTCTTATTTCCATCTTAGAGTTTCTAACTTCCGCCTTAAGCTTCCCCTGAGGGCCCTACCTCTGCCTGGAATCCTCTGTCAAAAGACTTTCATACCAGCTCTTTTCAGTTCAAATTTCATATCCTCAGAGATATTTTCCTGATCACTTAAACAATGCTCTGTCCCGTTCCTACAAAGATATCATGTTTCAGTTTATCATTCAAGGTC